TGAGCAAAAACTGTTTGTATCTCAAAGGTGCTTTAAACTCATTTCTGATAAAGGTCAGTCAGTGCAGCTTTACAGCTAAACCGAAACAAAAAGGATTTATCAGTCAAGTGTTCGTATTTGGTCAGATGTGAAGTGAGATGGAGCAGTTTGTGTCACTGTCAGTGATATTTTTCCCAATAAAACGAAATCCTGGCATCTTATATTTATGAAGCATTTTGCATATTAATTGTCATTACTTACTTTTGCATTTTTTAAAAATGGGATAGCTCATGTTTACTGAGCATTAGCCTCCAGCCACAGATTAAGAGTGGAAGGCTGCAGTTCCTCTAATGGCTGCATGTGGCGGCTTTGAAAAGGACGTTAATCCTCAAAAACACCCATTTTTAGAAAGACCAACTTTACAGCAGAAATAAACACATTTACAGCTGCAGCTAAACTTTCCATCTTAGCAACTGTACCACGGATAATGTGGTCAATAAGTCACCTGTTTAAATGGGACTAAGGCTTAAACTTGATTCGAGGTGTTGCCTCTTATTCACACCTGGATGCTGACACAAGCAGCTGCTAGCTGTCCACTATGACTGGCATCAGCTAATCGGAGGCGCTGCCTGGACCTCAAAGTGTCCAATGTGCAAAATTATTAAAAATAAGTGCATATAAGTGTAACATGTTAATTAAAAGTTCTTTCCAACTGCAGATGGAAAGAAACTGTTTTTGTGAGGTATTGGTCCAGATGGACTGAGCCTTCTGCCAAATGAGTGACTCAAAGCTGATCCTATGTCCCGCCTGCTGGGATCTGCAAGCTCACGCTGGTGATTTTAACTGATTTTTCAGCCCAGCAGATACTGCTTATATCTATCTATCTGAAATGTAAATACTTGTTAGTTTAATGGTTCTTTATAACAACAAACTCGGGACCTTTTGATTTGATTTTACTTTTTTCTGACACTAGAAAACTGTAAAGAAATGCAGCTTTATAAACAAGGATTGTTGGTGATTGCAGCAAACCTTAACTTATTTGAAAAACTCTGTAGACCCATCAGTTTATCAGCGATCTGCCAGTTGTGTGTCAATTAGGTGAAAACCTTTCATTTGTGGCTCCTATAAGAAAGTGTTATTTCTTAAAATGCATCAGAGACTGAACTATTTCAGAACAAATAAAAACAGACTGAACAGATTTTAAGCGGCTCCGCTCTCCTGCTCTTCAGCTTCCACTCGTTGCTGTGCAGAGAAACCTGTTTTTTTATGTAGCTCAGAGCTGCGTTACGATTGGCTGTTGCCAGGCTGCAGGGTTGGCGCTGAGCAAGTGTGTCTGAAATAAAGAGAGCGAATCGGTGCTTCTTTCCTCTGCTCTGCCTCCCTCTGAGAATAATGAGACCACAGACATGGAGACGTGGATGCCAGACAGTACTAACAAATATCACCTCATTAAAAGGGTCAATTCACCCAAATTACAACATTTCCAGCCCTTCTCCTGCTTTGGGATCAGGATCTGTCCTGGTTTTATTTATCCAGGTTTAAAGATATCTGTCTCCATGACAACAGTAGAGACAGAAGGAATTTATTTTGTGTTGCTCACAAATTTGAAACGTGAATGTCTTTTATTTATAACTTCACAGGGGATAAAAACAGATGATAAAAAGATTACAGAAAGAGCAGTCCATAAAAATGTTCTGAGAAGCGTCTTTAATAATATTCTTGTGGCAAAAGCTCAGCGTGACCTGATGGTGGCAGTAGCCCATCTCACAGTCTGACTCTGTGAGATGATTGTGCAGCACCTGGACGGCCGGTCTAAGGCACAAAGGTTTCAAAATAGTGTTCGAGTGTTTATGTGTTTTAGTCTTGCTAGAGGTGGTCGTCCTCCCTCATAGTGAATGAAAGTGATCATGTTTTATCTCCGCCGCATGCTGTCGGCCATTTTCTCGTCACGTTGCAGCTGCTCGTGTTGGAGGATGTTTGGATCCGAGCCAAAGATTCAGTCTGTCCAACTGGAGGACGGAAAAATATTCAGGAGGAAAACAGAGATTAACACACACACACACACCTCTTTGTCTGTAGACAGTCTTTGGCTCACACATCACACCCCTAGGCGTTACCATGGTGATGGGATGAAAGGGGGGGGTCTTTGATGGGAGTCTCTGAAGGTTTCAGTCTGTGAATCCAAATGAAGCTGTGTGTTTGTGAGTGGATGTCTATCTGTGTGAGGACCAGTGTGAGCTTTAGACCTTGTGAGGAGGGTCTGGTTTTCACTGCTGGACTCAGCAGACCTTCAGCAGACTCAGGTGTGAAGGGTCAGACCTGGTTTTAGGGTTCATGCTCTGGTTTAGGGGAAACTCTTAGAAAATAAAGGTCCTCACAAAGAAATTAGAACAAATGGATGTAAGAAGATTGTGATACGGGCAAAGACATCAAAGATCCTCCATCATCCACATGTCCTCTGTCTAGTGTTTCCTAAAAAATCTCAATATAAATTCTGCAGATGTGTAGAATATTTTAATCGGTTCGTAGAGCATTAAAAATAGAGCTTGACATTAACATTGGCCGATATTCAACCCATTCTGCTCATCTCTGTCTTGCAAATCTTTTAATTCTTGGACTCTACTAGAGTAGCTTTGCATGATTCAAGGTTCAAAATAATCCTTATTTAGCTCTACTGAGCTTACTGCCGCTCTGAAACCAGCTGTTTTAGCTCCTCCTCCTTTAAGGCCAGCCTCCATGTCATACAGCTGGGCTGCTCCTAGTAAACACGAGGTTTGAATAGCAGGGTCTCACACAAATGGTTTTTCTTATTATAACATTCGTGTTAGCCTAATGACTCATCCTGAACACATCAGCATGAGTCAGCAGCTTATTTAAACCATATATTAACATTTACAGCCCACTGTGTGCCTGTAATTGGTAAATGTATTTTTCCAAGTAGAGGGGTGACGAGTTGCTCTATTTATTTAGAAGACACACTCGCTTTATTTGAAAAAACGCAGGAAAACAGACAAAGCCCGGATGTCTCAGTTTTACAGAAGCTTTCATTTGTGGATCTGTTGACAGCGTGAACTTTGTCTCAAAACCCCACGTGGGGATGTGATGTGATTTGTGCATATTTGTGCACACGTTGTTAAGGTTCTGTAAGTGAGCAAGAGGGATTTTACCTTTTTAGACATTTGTATGCACAGAAAACATTTTGAAAGAGAAAATTATCCAACTTATAAATTATAAATGATCAGTATTTATTCAGGTTTGGGTATATGCATTTGTAAAATAGTTTCACATGTGTTCATGTTGCTTTATATTTTTGTGTGAATTGAAACAGCACTTATGACTCTTTGTGTACATTTGTGGATCATAACAAACACATTTGTAACATTTTTGAGACAAATCTTTCTTCATATGAAACAACGATCAATGTGTCCACATCAAGATGATTATTATAAATAACTTAAATTAAAATTAAATGTATACAAATATTTACTGTACATGAAGAAAAACGTGAAATTATCACCTGCAGATTTATCACCCTCTCCCATGTTTATCGTAGTACCTGTTCTGAACAGGTTTGTTTGAGCTAAACATCTCCCATAATGTTAATGATAAAAATAAAACTGAACTGAAAATAGAATTTATTTTTTCTAAATAATGATAAAGGAAATTAATTTAAAAAATCAAAAAGTATAGCTGTATATGCGAAAGGTGGAGATCAGACTAGAAGTAGATCAAAGATACCATCTTTATGCATTTTTCTTCTTCTGTCTTTCTGTGTGCAGCTCTCTGGTGCCGAGAAGCCCCCTGCTGGAGAACCAGAGAACAGCAGCTCATCATCAGCCACAGCAGCAGGAACAGAAGCTGCAGACGGTGGTAGCAAGGTAACAACACACCTTAGGATGTTTAAGAAAAACTCAATTAATGTCTACAACATTGCACTTATAGAGTGAAACTTACAAAAGCGTACCCTGTCATTGCCACTGGTGGAAGTGGATAAGATCGTTACTGATGTTTCCTCCGCAGGTGGAGATGGTCTTCTGGTTGCTCTCCATGCTGGCAAACAGAGATAAGGAGGAGATGTCCCGGACTCTACTGGCTCTCTCCAGCTCTCAGGACAGCTGCATTGCCATGAGAAAGTCTGGCTGCGTCCCCCTTCTGGTCCAGATTCTGCATGAAGGCCCGGACGGAGGCAGCGGTCCTGGTGAGACAGCAGCGGGTGGCACCACAACAGGCTGCAGCCGTGAGGCCAAGTCCAGAGCAAGCGCTGCCCTCCACAACATCATTTACTCACAGCAGGATGAGGGCCAAGCCCGCCGGGAGATGAGGGTCCTGCACATGCTGGAGCAGATCCGGACCTACTGCGACAGTGGCTGGGACTGGATCGAGAGCCACGCCGGGACACCTTCACCAGGGGGAACCAGAACCACAGGTGAGCCATGTTTTTAAAAAAAACCCTGAACATCAGCAACCAAAGAAACATAACGGGGTTCACTAACTGGTGGGTGACATCACAACACCTACATCCATCTTTTGTACAGTTAAAGATAAACAAACTTACATGTCAGAGGTATTTTCTTTGAGATTAGTTGTATCCTACAGTGGAGGACAAAAGTCTATAAATCTATAGACAAAACCACCAGTGATCCAAGTTTCATTTAAATCTGATGAAACCAAAACGACATGTTCAAAATAACGCAAACTTAAGTTAAACATCTTGTTTTTCTCCACAGATATCCCTGAACCCGTGGACCCTCAAATCTGTCAGGCCATGTGCGCCATCATGAAGCTCTCCTTCGAAGAGGAGTTTCGACGAGCCATGAACGAATTAGGTTTGTTTGACACCAAAGGACCCGTTTGCAGTTGGTGCTTTCGTTTTTATGCCTGATTGCATTTATACAGTGAAAGTATCAGTTATTTCCTGTAATGCATAGATTTGATATTTGATCTGTTTTATTTTTAATGTGTTTTTCAGCTATTTCAATTCAATTTTATTTATACAGCACCAAATCATAACAACAGTCACCTCAAGGCGCTTTATATTGTAAGGTAGACCCTACAATAATACATACAGAGAGAAACCCAACATATGACCCCCTATGATTTTTTTATTATTCAATTTTGGAATTTATTTTGCAATTACCACAAAATATTTATATTTTAAATAGCAAACATATTTAATAAAGCCATGGAATATAAATTCTCATCATTGGGGGAGTCACAGTAGAGCAGTGGCTGTCGCGTGGCAAAAGTAATAAAAGACGTTAAGACAAAGTAAAGGTTAGAAGGAGTTTTGGAAGAATTTAAGATTTGAATTTGGGCCAAAGTTTGGGAATGACTCCAGTAAAGTATCAAGTTTAAAAATACTTTGGTTTATCTTTGCTACAACAGAGCTTTGATTTGTAGCATGTGTTTCGGTATTTTCACATGAGTTTGTTTTTATTTCTTTCAGGCGGTCTGCAGGTGGTGGCAGATCTCATCCACCTGGACCAGGAAATGTACGGCATGCAGAACGACCCCATCAACATGGCTTTGCGTCGCTATGCAGGGATGGCTTTGACCAATCTCACCTTCGGGGATGTCGTCAACAAGGTACAGAA